TAATTATAAACTAAAGTTTATTGTATGCTAACAATAGTATGCTGAGAACAGAAACACAATAGTTATAATCATATTAACTCAATACATTTTAAAAACTGACATCTAATTGATGGACACAGTAACTATTCTGCATGTGGCATTCATCTGGCCCCTTCCCACTCATCCTTCATATCTCAAATGAATGTTACTTCCTTGCCTTTACTAAGCCCAAAATAAAGTTAGGACCCTCCTTTGACTCCATTACTATCTTTCCTAAAGTTTTCCCTTCACTGTGCAAACATTTCTTGTTTCTTGTGTTTCTTCGTTTTCTTCCTACTTCCCCCAGTCTATAAGATCCAACAGGGCAGGCACCAGGCCTATTTTACTTACCACAGTGACTTATCATAGTGCCTGGAGCATAATAGTTACTCAAAAATCATCTGTAGAAAGGGAAAAAAAAAAAGGATTGTAAGTAGTTTATATGTGGTACTTAACATTAACATTACTTATTCTGACAAACCAAGCTTTAAACGTACTATTTTCTCTTTGGTAGTTGATAAATGTCCAGAATGGCATTACTGTTAATAATGTCCCTTAATACCATAAACAGGTAAACATTTGTCATGTAAGTACACACTGCAGTCAATTGTTTTAAAGGAGAGTGTAGAAAGTCCCTCTGTCTAGTCCCAGAGTTCCCTGTGACTCCCCGTGTTGAGCAGGGCTGAAGCTCTGTTCGCTGCTATATTCCTGTCTTCCATATCTGCTTATCCCTTCTCCACCCAAATGAAGGGATAAAGAAAGGCAGATTTGAATGAACTAAAACTTTGTGCATAGGATAGCACTGCTAAGCCGTTTCCCATTCTCTCACTGATGTGACATTTATGCTGGCCTTGTATTTTTCTCCCAGTCCAAGTGCAATAGAAAGTAGGCAGCCGTTTTTAGACACTTTCTGTTCCACAAAGCTGAATCATGCATCTATTGATAAGGAGCCCAGAAAAATGAATAAATGCATAGACTCTTGAGCCAGATGGCCTGGGTTTGAATCCTGGTGCTGCCATTTACCAGGTGGTTGTCTCTGGGCAAGTTGGTTTGACCTCTCTGACCTCATTTATAGAATGGGATATTGATAGCACTTGCCTCTTAGTTTTGTAATGAGGAGTAAATGAGTTAACACTTGTAAGGTTCCTATATAATGACAGAAATATGTAGTAACTATGCCTGGGCTATACAGCAAAGTGTAGTGTTAGTGAAATAAATTAATAAATTTCCCCAACTTTTTTCCTTGCTAGATGGACTTGCCAGTTTCAAAAGTTTCCTGAAGTCTGAATTCAGTGAGGAAAACCTTGAGTTCTGGGTTGCCTGTGAGGATTACAAGAAGATCAAGTCTCCTGCCAAGATGGCTGAGAAGGCAAAGCAAATTTATGAAGAATTCATCCAAACAGAGGCTCCTAAAGAGGTCGGTCCTGGTGGGTAGGTGGCTGAGTGTGGTCACACAAGGGGCAGCTCACAAACTCCCAGGCGGGACTCACACAGGAGGTACAGACCTGCTGTTGGCAGCCAAAGGCCACTCCTGTTTGTGAGTAGGCCACCTTATTAAGCACCTACTGAATACAAAGGCAGAACAAATGATCAAGCAGATATAAACGTGAATCCTGTTTAGACCATATACGGGTCTCACTTCAATGCATGTAACCTCAAGTGGAATGATACCAGTATATGATCTTAGATGAATTGCTGAATCTCTCTGAACCTAGTTTCTTTCTTTGTGAAAATGAAAATAATGAAGACTATTTTTGTAGAATTGTTGTCAGGATTAAATTTAAAAGTAGATGTAAAAACATATACAGCTTGAGCATATTTAACTCAAAAATCCAAAATCTGAAACTTTTTGAGCACCAACATGACGCCACAAGTGGAAAACTCCACATTTGGCCTTATGTCTCAGTCAAAACACAGTCAAACCTTTGTTGCATGCACAAAATTATTAAAAATATTGTATAAAATTATCTTCAGGCTATGCATATAAAGTATATATGAAAGATAAGTGAATTTTGTACTTAGAATTAGGTCCCATCCCCAAGGTAACTCATTATGTGTATGCGAATATTCCAAAATCTGAAAACATTCAAAGTCCAATACATTTCAGATCCCAAGTATTTCAGATAACTGATACTCAACCTGTATCTCAGTGTCTGAACTAAATAATGCCTAATGAGTATTCCTACCACGTTTCTTGGTTCCTCTTTCCTTTCTCTTCCCTTTCCTTTTCTTTCCTTTGAATTCATCTCTTCTCCCACTTCTACTCTTCTCTATCATTTATTTTTCCCCCCAGGCCTTTGCCATTTTCACTGTAGTTGGGACAATAAGACATCTACTCCTGAAAATCAAAATATTACAAGATAACAGAGCTAGAGATGTTGAAAGCCAAGATATCACTAATTGACTACTAAAGACCAGATATGTGTTAATTTCCAAGAAGGTTTGGGGAAGTTTATTTGCTCTTTTCTTTGCTATTTATGAAACCACATTGAAAAACCTGTTGTAAAATTCAGGATGGCCTCAGCAAGTTCTGTTCATGATATTTTGGTCAGGTTACTCTAATTCCACTTGTTACCTTTAATCCAGTCTGGACATTAAGTGTTTCATTAAGGTTTGGAGTCAAGCACAGAGATGATCTGAGCAAACCCTGTGGGTAGGCAGTAATCTACTTAAGATGGTTTGACAGGGAAAACCCCTAATAGCTCTTTTCTCCCACAGATGCTCTAGACTACTGAAGTTTTACCATTAGATATTTATTCATTTGGTTGTGTATTATCCCTCACTGATCCTTTTTAAAGGGTATATATGCTTGAGTAGATGGACAAATTATATACCTTAAAACCAATAGATGAGTTCCCTCTATGACACAAGAGGTAGAAGTTAGGAGTATGAGAGTATAGATAACCATAGGTCAAAGTTGAGAAAATGAAAAGGTTCTAAAGAGTCCATGTTTAGATTTTTAATGGGAATTAATTTGAGAATTATCATCAGATCTTCCCTTCTATTCCTCAACCTCTCACTTCAAGCATATATGTTAGCTCTATCCTACTTTAGATACCTTTGTGCTGGGCCATCCTTTCCTTGATCAGCATGGAATCTCTCAATATATGCTAATAAGAAGATTAATTTAATATTAAATTAGACACACATTTTCCCATTTCAAGTGGATTCCCCATTTCCAATCTACCTTCCTACCAACTTTATTCTTCTTCACAGAATTCTAGGATTTGTTGAAATATCTGCAAATGGTAGAGACCCATCTAGACTATCATAAGTTGGTCTGAGCTCTAGGAAAACATTGTTCTCAAGGTTCCTTATTAATATATTGTTGGTTATCATGAAAATATGAAACCTTAAAAATAGAGTTTCGAAATCAATAATACCCTGGCTAGCTCAGTTACTCAAACAAATAAATGGTAACCACAAATTGCAAGGCTGCAATTAAAATAGCCTTGGCCTTCATTCTAAATGATCTATGCATGTGTAGGGGTATAATAGTATACATAAGACCCCCAAATACAGGCAACCCTGAATAATGAGCCTGAGCTGGGCATTAAAGAGGATGTAAATCTTGCTCTGTACCGTAAAAGGCATTCAGTAAATATTTGTGAACTGAAAGGATGGAAATATCCAACTCCAGACCTTCCTAGATAGATGTAGGACTTTGGGCAAGTTTCTAACTAAAGCTCTCTAACCCTCAATTCTTCTAACTGTAAACATCTCGCATATTTGTATATGTATCTGGAGTATGTTTAATAAGTTGTGGCTTTTATTAAAAAATTCTCCACATCTTGTATTTTGACATGAACATTTACTATTTCATTTTGATAAGATTGACCTAGGTAAGAAATTTACCAAGGCAAATAGTATTCTAAATTTTATTTCTCTGAGTATTCACCTCAGCTCTTTAATATGAAGAAGTAAATGATACATTGATACGAATTGGAACAAAGATTTAAAAAAGAAAAACAGCTATGCGTAGGTCAATTTGTACATTGGAAATTATCATTTGAACATATTTAAAATTAATGAAATAGTATTTTTCTGGATCAGTAAACAGATGAATATATATCAGAATGACTCATTGAAGAAAGCCTATGCACATAAAAATCATAAGAGAAATAGCTGCTATCTGCTGGTGGACACTATATATTAGAAGATTTTAAATGCATCACTCCTTTGATAAAATACGATTAGGAGATACTGTTATAATTTATAGAAATTCAACCATTTGTAGTAAAACTGCCTTCCCAGCTTAGTACAGGTATATATTTAATATAAGAGAAGGAAGAAGCATTGCCTTTGTGTGATGAGAAGAATAATAGACTGAGAATAGAGAAATCTACATCATAGCCTCACCTCTGTCTTGCACTGGCTGTTCGTGGGCATGTAACTTTGACCTCTTTGAGCCTTGGAGTCTTCACATGTAAAGACAGGCAGTGGACTCCATCACCTCTGAGGCTGATCCCAATTCTGACATCTGTCTTCCACCATGCCTGCATAAAGCACAATGGCCCCTTTCACCTGCGGAAAATCTTTCTGTAGCTTCAACTCATTTCGTCCTGGACTTTGAAGCACTGCTTGACCCTGCTGTCTGTTCCGGCCTGGCTTGCCAGGGAATCACGCCTTTGTCTCTGACTCTAACTAGCAGCTGCTTCATATGTGTCTGAGCCCAAATAGCCCTTTTCAGTACCAAGGACCTCTAGCAGCCCAGACCTGAAATGTTTTTCAACATTCCAATTCAGAACCATTGGCTTATTTGGATTCTACTTCTTTCTCTTTTATGCTCAGACCCCTTAAGAGTCATTCAAACATACAACAGGAAGTATGAAGATTCAAATCATACTCAGGGAAGCTCATACAGTCTGTACCCTGCACAACTCCAGGGGTGCCATTCACGTAGACGCTAATATGAGTGATGTCCCTAGGAGTTGTGCAGTGTAGTGGCCCTGTACTCAGGACATATAAGCCATGATACCGTCCAATGCTGTAGTCTACTGGTTAAAAGCCCAGCTTTGGAGCCACATTGCTGGGTTTTTGAATCTTCTTTCTACCACCAGTGAACCTTGGGCAAATCACGTAATATTTCTGTGCCTCTCTTTCCTCAACGATAAAATGTAGATGACAGCATCTACCTCACAGAGTCGTAAGATTAGATGAGTTCATCCTTGTAAAGTTCTCAGCACAGCACCTGGCACAGACTAAGCACTCAATAAATATTAGTGGCTATTAGCTGCTATTTTTGTTACTGTTCTGTCAGAACGATTGTTTCCCGGTTTGTTTTAGGAAAGGCCAAGTTTCCTTGCTCTTCTGGAGCCATACAAAGAGGTCCTGGATCCCTGGTCAGAATTTCTTTCTCTCTCTTCAATTCCTCCACTCGGCGTGAAACCAAATGCTGTAGTAGGAAGATTTTGGAATGAGGCATCAGGACATCTGGATTCAAATTCTTATTCTCTGGATTCAAATACACTTAGTGGCTCTGTGATCCACTTAACCCTCTGCATTCATATATTTTTTCTATAAAAGGAAAAAAGTTATTCTTGGCGTTGTTGTCAGGATTAAATGAGAAATGTGTATGTGAGCCACTAGGGAAGGTCTGACATTGGTCTAACATTGGTTGGATCTGAAATCTGAGTCATGAATTTATTGGAGCATCAGTTGCCTTACCCAATTGCTATTAAATAGTCACTTATTATGACTTCCCTCCCCTCTTATGTTTTACTGGTGAGGAATTCCACCTCCCTCTCTCCATCCCTCTTCAAATCCTGTAACCTGGGCTGATCAGTGACCCTGTTTCCTGGCCCACAGGTGAATATTGACCACTTCACTAAGGACATCACAATGAAGAACCTGGTGGAACCTTCCCTGAGCAGCTTTGACGTGGCCCAGAAAAGAATCCATGCCCTGATGGAAAAGGATTCACTTCCTCGCTTTGTGCGCACTGAGATTTATCAGGAGTTAATCAAGTAGTAATTTAGTCAGGCTATGAAAATCTTCCTGAGTTACTTCCTCCACAATAACCCTGCATTTTCCTGTAACCTACATATCTTCCGACAGCAGCTCTGCTCAAAGATACTGGGGAGTATTGCTTGCTCTCTTTTTCCATATTGTTTTGGGCGTTTATCTATTGTCCAAATGCCTTCTTTCCCTACTTTCTTCTTCCTGCCCCACTCTTAATTGAGCTCTACTCAGTTAGTAGTCAGATCCAATGAGAACCACAGAAAAATCCTGCCTAAGGCAAAGAATTATAAGACAAGAATATATCATTAAATGTGGATTTGGGCAGTAGATTTCTACCTAAATAGGTCTGAAAAAGAATGTCCATATGGAAAGACCAATTTCAAGGGAGCTTAATTGATCTCACTTGTTTTAATTCTGATCCAGGGAGATCACCCCTCTAATTATTTCTGATTTGGTTAGTAAAAGGTGATGTGATCTTTATGAGACAGCCACTATTTGATATTTTAAGCCAATACAATATTTAAAATATTGATCTTTCCTTGGAGCACCTTCACGTTACCTGGATATAAGGAAGAGACACAACACAACCATGAAAATATGGTGTTTATACAAAATCAATCTGAACACAATTCATAGCAATTCTTTCCTTATACCTCCCTCACTGCCTCCCCATAAAGTTACCAAATTCCGTTTTAAATCAACAACTTAACATTAAAAAATGAATGATTTTATATATGTATCTATGCTCCTAGCATATAGGTCAAATGTTACAGTTTCCAAATTATTTGAAATCCTCATGAGTGTAAAATTCCAAAATTTCTAATTCTAATCCTGTAAAATAAAACTATTGCTCCAGTGGGGTGGTCTCCCACCTCAATATTAAGAGGGCTATACTAAAAAGGGAAAACATTATTAAGCTTAAATGGCTAATTATCCTATGGTGCTATTATCATAGGATAATGACAATTATCTTCAAAACACCAAATCATCCTTGGAAAAATTAAGGTGACTATATATAGAGGCTTTCTAAGTGAGACAGAATTTTCGAGTACTCTGCATTTTACAAAAAATAAATAAAAATGTGACCTTTTAGCAACTCTAATCTTCCCTCACTATTTTGCCCCCTGCATTAGTCAATTGTGCTTATAGTCAAAGTACAGATTTATACTCCCGACATGCCTCATACACAGCTAATTGACAGGCCATGGTATTTTTTTTAGTAGCTTTAAATTTCTAATTCTGTATTTTATCATTATAAGTCTTGTTAGAATTTTTTTCTAATCTTTAGTAGATTTTATTAGTAATGATTCACATAATTTAGTGATAAATAAGATCAAA